CACGTGCCGACGCGCGTCACTGCCGAGAGCCATGGCAACCGTGACCTCACCCGCGAGCCCGACCTTCCCGCGTGGGCCCTGGTTCTTTAGGCGCTAGCTCCCGGCTGCCCCCCTCTGGGGATGAGGCAGTGGGGTCCTCACGTGTGTCAGCAAGTTGGAAGCCTCTGCAGCGTTTGCGGAATCCCGGGGTGCATAATGCCTGACCCAGAGTCCCCTAGTTGTCTCCGGAATCGCGAATTTGACCTCTGTTGTGACTTGTGCTCCAGTTCAACAATCGCCCAGACTCCCTTAACACAAAAGTATTTCCTCAGCCCCCAAAATACCAGCTTTGTCCCACTTTAGCCCTTGAGGCCACAAAGGCAGGAATAGCTACAGTATTTAAGTAACTGTAACCAAGTTGGTAGCAAGGCAGGGGAATTCTTCAGCAAAATCCCTTCTTAAAAAACCCAGCTCTCCCTGTACAATCCATTGTAATTGTTACTGATCTAGAGGAATGGGAAACTGGGATGTACGTGTTCAAGGCCTAAGAACCCATCTCAAACACGCATTTCAGTCACTGGGTGGGCGAGGGCCAGAGTAGATACGTCATTTTTCTTCCTACCTCCCCCATCTCTGAACAGTTATATAGTGAAATGTCTGTCAAAGTGCCTGTATGCGGTTTCTATGGCTTGTATGACCCTGATGAAGCAGCGGTACACGTTATCCAGCCAACCACGTCATATTTAAAGAACAGCCCGTTAGGCAAAATCAGTAATAAAATTAAAATTCCATCTTTACAAGTCACTTTGCAAGGACATTAAAGGTGATCAAATTCATATTTCTGACAACTCTCATATTCCTTTATGTCTCCTCCCCTATCATCAGGCATCCCACACCCTTCAGAGACTTACACTAACTCCCAGTCTCCCCTCATCCTGTCTCCCCCCCCTTTATTAAGTAGACTGATTTAACTGCTTTAACTGGGGTGGGGTGGGGAGGAAATTGGGTTGGCAATAACAGGGTTGTCTGGCATACTGCAGGGAGAAGGGAAGACTGAACACTCTGCTAACAAAAATGCATTCCTTCACTCTGGTCTTGATTCATCCACATCTATGTCTCTTTAATAGACTGGATTCCTCAGTGGCTGATTCTGTCACCAGGTTGCTGAATGTGCAATGTCAAAAATTGACACAAAGGACACTGTAATTGTGCCAGAGGAGGGCACGTGTTTACTTTCTGACCAAAGGATGTTTGCTAACACTCTGATTCCCCATCTGACTCTGAGTAATGGATGGGACAGAGGGCTCATCCCATGTTTGTCTGGAATCAATCCCCTGTTGACTGTCCCAAATTGCCAACACAATTAACATTAATTGGCTCCTTTGCTAGCAAATAAGGACAAGAATGGAGTGGTTCTTGGTTTCTTGCACTATTTAAACCCTTCCTTTTCTCCGTTAGCTTATTCAATAAATGATTATGGGGTGCAGCCAACTCCTGTTGCCATTTCAAGACCCCACTCACTGGCCTCCAGCAGACTGGACTCTAATTTTGGTGCTTGACCCCAATTTTACCATTTCTCTGGGAGGGAACTACAGAGAACCCCTGGCTGTCTGACTCTGGAGACTTGCGGGGCAGCTCAGAAACCTGCCCAGCCTCCTCTCCACTCAGAGAAATCATTTGAACATCAAGTATCACAACTTCTGCAGCTCTCTGGAGAGAATAAGTCTCTGGGGAGGACTAGAAATTGGAGCATTGGTCTAATTTCCAAAGAGAAGCAGCAGATCACTGTTGTCTCTTAATAATGATCAAAATACATCATGTTTTTAAGCCATTTATGTTCTCTGCCTATATGGATTGAAGCTAGTAGATGGTGTGTCTGATTGAGATCTGAGTAAAGATTTGCTGGCGTCTTCTTTTATTAAAAGGAAATAAAGAAATGGGTAAGGGAGTTAATTAAAGAAAAGCATCAAGGGGAAAAAATAGAATATCTTGTATGTATCCAGTAAGATTGATACACAGTGACTGTAACAAACAATTGTGAGGATGGTACAGGACCAGGCAGTGTTTTTCACTCTGTTGTGCATAAGGTTGTCATGAGTATAGCTCCTAACAACAACAGTGTAATAGAGTCTAATAAGAATGTATTGAGTATCAGAGACTGAGTTAGAATTTGAGAGGAATCCAAAAACGGAATTAACACAGCACATGCCCTGGAGGAACACACAGTTAATAACAATTTGCCAGGTACCATACAAAACAGTTCATATGATTAAGTCACTGAATCTGCACTCCCAACCCTATGAGATGAGATTACATTATCCCCATTTTACAGATAATGAAAACGAGACACATAGGGATTAGGAGAATAAAACAAGGCCAGAGAGCTGTTCAAACTCAGCAATTGGAGCCTGGAGGCTTACCCACTGTATGCCTGTTATAATCCCTGTCAAGGTAGAAGCTAGTAGGAAAATGTGTCTCCAGAAACCCAGTGTAACTGATCTCAGACCCTAAGAAAAAGAGGACTTTGAGAGTTTTTAAGAGCTGGACAGAAGCAGACAGCTGAAACATATCAATTAGGAAAAATCAACTACCAAAGTACTTACGATGGCTACACTTGTAAGTTGCACCAAAAAGAGGCTCACAATAAATTATAGGATAAACACCAGACTGCTAACCAATTAGCAGTTCAAACCTATGGCTCCTGGAAATGCTATACAGGGTTGCTATGAGTTAGAACCAACTCAAATGCACTTAACAACTACAACATTGGTGTCCTTAAAAAGAGAGGTGGTTAGGTATATACCTGCCTGGTGGCAGACTTTGAGGAGGGGCTTGTGGGCTGAATTCTTAAAGATGACCCTGTGGATTAGGCCTTTGCTAACTGCAAGGTTGGTGATTCAAACCCACCAGCTGCTCCTCGGGATAAAGAAGAGGCTGTCTGCCCCTTAAAGAATCGGAGTTGATTCGATGGCAATGGATTTATATTTTGTTTTGTTTTTTCTACAGCCCAGAGTGAAGTTAGAGTGCTAGCCACCACACAGCTTCCAGTCAGCTGCCCTAACTCACCCTCTTCTGAAAAAATAATAGATCCAAAGATGAAAATGAGACCTCTTTCTACATAATGTCATTGTGTCTTATTCTCAGACTTTGAAAAGAACAAACCTAGGTATTCTTGACAGAGATGACAGGCCCTTCGAAGTGATACAAAATCTCTGAGGCACTAAGGTACCATCTGAGAGTGATACAGACAGTGGGAGATCATTTGTGCAATAACTTTGTGATGCTTTTAAAGGTCTACTTAGCCTGCCTGCGTAGCAGTTTGCCAACACCCCCAAAAGAAAACTGATGCCTCGCATCATTGTTGGACTACCCACTAAACAAGATAAACACAGGCTTACTTGTGCTTACTTGCTAATCTATCTTGAGCAAGTTCACATTTTTCTCACCATATCAAAGATTTTACTTATAGGCCTGGCTGGCATCTGCCTCTCTCCCAATCCCACAGCCCCCTCCAACAGAATCAAAGTCTATACAAATTGAGTCTCTGACAGGGTCCGAGTACTCAGTAAACAAGGCTTTCTTGTGCTTATTGACTAATCAGTAGTAAATAATTTCTCATGTTTTTCACCACATCAAAATATATGAAACTGTTCGATACAGATTGTAAACCCACGCTTCCCTTGCTTACTGGATCATAAGCCCTGCTCACAAAATCACTCCATAAACTCTCAGAGCCTTTAAGAAGTTGCAGATAGTACAACTCCTCACTTTACACTTGCTCAATTCATTACTGCTCTGAAAAGAAACTGACATTATACTTGTATGTTGTTGTGGGCCATCGAGTCAACTTTGTCTCACAGCGAACCTGTGTAGAGTTTCTGAGAGCGGCTGGTATGTTTGAACTGCCAACCTTTCCGTTATCAGTCCAGTGCTTTATCCTACAGCGCCACACCAGGGCTCTATTACCAGTATTATACTTATATAATATAATACAGAAGCACTTTTCAGAAAGTCTCTTTGTGAAAAGACAACATGATAGAACGTTCACGTACCATGTATATTCCCAAACAAGGAGATTATTAGCCAACTGTAAATTCTGCCATCACATAGAAATCATGGCAGTTTTTTGTCTGAATGCTCCAAGGGCTGTGTTTTCCTGGGAAAACTGAATGTATGCCTCCTCTTTGTTAGGGCCGCCTCCTGCCATGCTACCTCAGCTGTGTGGCTTTTACCTTTTCTCTCCCAGTTAAACCTAGCCATGTCCACATGCTTCCCCCTGGGGACCTAGAAGCAGGTCTGAGCAGCCAAAGATAACTACATAGTCTCTTGCTATAAAATGTCTTGGGGAAGGGGCTTAAGAGAAGCTAAATAAGCTTTCAGTCAAGAATTTCCTATTCAGTTTGCCCACATTTTTATTTTTCCTGAAACCATTTGTGTTATGTAATATGAAACATTAAAATGACTTTCACTGGGTGATGAAAAAATTGGCGGATGGTTAATAGGGATGGTTAAACAACTTGAACATAATGTCACTGAAAAAGATTGTTGAAATGGCAAATATTTTGCTACCTATATATTTACAATAAGGAGCTCTGGTAGCGTAGTGGTTACAAATTGGACTGCTAATTTCATGGTCAGCAGTTTGAAACTACCAGCTGTTCCGCGGGAGAAATATGAGGCTTTCTGCTCCCGTAAAGATTTACAGCTTA